CATATCTTCCATGGGCTTACACTCGTCCAACAATTACTGCCTCACACCTTATCGATTGATAACGCGAGGGTAGCAAATCCAGCGTGGAAGCCAGCGTGACCGCTTCCTTTAAGCGGCTCAAGCTTGTTAAAGCATGTTTTATGCATTTTTGTACAAAATTACTGGGCCTCGTGCTTCGGAGACTCCAACAGCCTTTTTTTCAGGAGAAATATCAATATTTGTGGAAATTACGTACATATATTTTATATACATATATTTATTCTAAGGTATTCGGTACATACACACAAGGAAGGGGGAGGTAATATAAAAAGATATTTTGTCTGCACATCCGAATGAATTTAATCGCACTTCAGGGCGGAAGTGGTGTAGTGGCAAGTGGCGCGCTCACCACGCGAGCGGTCCGGGGATCAAATCCTGGGTCGTGAGTCGCCCGGGCCAACCAAGCCTTCCATCCCTCCGGGGTCGGTTAATTGGTACCAGACTTGTCTGGGAGGATAAAAACACTGACTTGAAACACTGGAAGTAGAATGCATGTTGCATCCCAAGAAGGGATTGATCGAAGCCAAATGCTTTATCCTTCAATCGCTCTTTCACGATCATTCTCAACATAAAATTGAAAGCATTCCATTTCATTGAAAAAAAAACTTCTTAGTAGCCTCCTGCATAGGCGGCGTCAGAAAAATCTGCAACGGAAACATGGTACACTGGTAGAGCCTAATAGGGTGCTCAATGGATCGTGTACCATTTTGACGTTCTCCAAGCTCTAGTACGGAGGGAGCTTTTAGCAACTATAGGTCACTTTGACCTCGATGACGATAACAGGGGACCTTACATTCAGGTGAAGACAGTGGAATAGGGCTTGCGTCAACTTACATATAGAAAGACATTTGAATAAACTTCTGTAAGACATCCACCAATGACGGCGATACGCGCAGCAAAAAAATCGCAGAATGCAGCTTGGGCAAAAACTTTCTACTCCCCTCCTGCCACTGTATAGGTTTGAAATGGTCCCTAAACGGACTTGTTAAGCTTTGCACACATAAGTGAGCGCTCTTGCTTGCCAAGTCAATAATGGCAACAAATGGAAGTATTGGGTGGAGCATAATATCGTAGCGCTCGCATTCGGCAAAAACGTTCAAAGCAAAACCCAAAAGCAAAGCCAAGCATAAAACTGATCAGTGATGTTCTTCTCATCATTATTTATTATTTATTTAATACACCTGAAAGGGTGTGCACACGATGGACAAACAGAGTTGTAAAGCTGAGCGATCCATGATACAAAAAGTAAAAATAAAGAAAGAAGCCATTGAGGTCCTACACTGTAGCCGGTAATAAGGCCGCACTCACCATCCGGAAGACCGAAAACGAGATCCTTGTCCCTCGTTCGGACGCTTTCGAGTCGAATAACGTACCGGGGCTTGCAACCAACTTAACCCATGACTAACGAATTAGTCTGGGACCCCAGGCGAACAACGAGGGGGGACCTCAAGTGAGGGGTCGATCAACTTTCAGGCTCACCGAGCGACTAGAGGCCACTTATCGGAACCTATAGGGCGCCAGGAAACCAAGATAAAAACGTAGAGCTAATATTGTTTACGAATTTGGTTCCATTTCACAAGAAATTAACGAGTTTAGAAATAAAAAATGGGTATATGAGCCTGTCTTTAGAATCCCATTATTCTCAGATTATACTACGTGAATATGATTTGAAATCGAAGGAAGCGATGACCAGAAGTAGAGTTCAATGATGATGCGATAGGATTACCGAAAAATTTCCTTATTGTGCAGACTTTGGTCGCTATATAGATTTGCGCCCATCTTGAGATCTCCAAAATTCTAAGCGAACATATCACCTGACAATAAACTTGCGCATCTAAGAGGAAAAATGCCAAAAAATGGTACTGTGGAGCAAAAAAAGTACTTACAAAAGATTTAAGTGATTCCCTGATACTTGCATTCACTGATTCCGTAGCTTGAAAAGAAAAACGCTACAGAATAATTGGCGCTCCAACCCAAAATTCAACGATTATTTCGATAAAATCTTTACTACCTATTACCATACCTCTCCTCGACCGTTACCAGCTCAAATCCAACATATTCACTCCAGCGGACGAATCAGCTTCAATAGTAGAACCTTAAGTGGTAATGGCCACATTTAGCAATCATACACAGTAAATTGCCTAAATCTTCACGATAAGTAACGAGTGGTTACATTAACATGCGTGTCCATTTCCCTATGTCGAGGATGCTGGGCCCGTAAATTCAAGGGGGGGTATTGATAAAGGCAAACGCAATATCCCTACAGTAAACCATTAACGTTAAGCCCATCAGACGTCCGGAAATAGGTGCGGCTTCATGTTCGTTGTAGGTTCGTATTCTATAGGATGAAAAACTTTCTTTTTTCTATGTAGCGCTGAAATTGATGAAAAAAGCGTAGAATTGTCTCGAACTCGGTTCTTCACATCAGACCAATTTTTCTGCTTTTTATTCGTTTACTCAGCGCTTTAGTTTCTGAATCCCTTCAGAATCAACAGAGATGCTTTTTCTAATGATTTACCTAGTCTTAGGTCCGCACCTTCGAATGGTGCTACAAGATTTCCATTTGCCACTGTTGCTTATGACGCAGCCTAACCGGCATTAGACTCAACACGCCGACATTCTAATTGTAAAAAAAAAAATTCTTTTTTTTTTCATTCGCTTTTATTCTCCAAACCCTGGAAATTCACCGCTACAATCTATTTTTCAGGTTTATTATCTTCGGCCAAACCGTTTGGTTTGAGGGCGTCCTTAGTAGGTGGCACTTAAAAGCAGGATAGGTCGAAAGGTCGAGAACGGGCAACTTGAGTCCAGTGTTGGAGCGGGGACCCTAGGAGTGCGGATCCATGCGCCTCGTTAGCACTGAAAATACACGCGGTCGGCCACACAAACGGCACTCCTCCATGTTCCAGACAGCATTAATCCCACTTTGCTAAGATCAAATCGACTGTCCCCAACTTAGTATTAAAGAGCATGTATGTAAATATTACATGACACCGACATCTCCTACACGAGACAAATCAGAAGCTTTTCCCACGGAAAATATGGCTTTCGCCGGTTATGAGCGACTTACGACCGTCGTCCGGGGTACCATAGACCAGTACGGTTCCTGAACGCTGATCAAAGCGTTTGCACGCGTCACAGCTACCTTGCTCACCGGGAACGATTTTCCGACACGTTCAACCATTGGAGAAAATTCGAGTAGCCAGGCTTCAGGCCTGAACGATTAGGATAAGGCTCGTTCTGCTCGACAGTGGCTGCAGATTACACTATATTCTGAAGACGGCGGGAGCAGTTCCGTTCACAGGGGGACAACTAAGGAATTTCCGGCCGTAAAATTTCAGTTAACTCGGTATCCTGGTGCGACGAAGGCTCCGATGACTGTCGCCGCCGATGCGCGCAATATCGCTTCCTCTTTCGGCACCCCTGCTATATGCCCCGTCACCTAGCGATGGGCCGCTTTTCCACGGTGATACTTGGCATTACGTCCACGACCTGGCTGACCCGCTGGAGCAGGTCTTGGGCTGTTTTCGAGCAGAGAGAGCCGTAAGCGAATGAGAGGGCAGATCATGAGAGCGCACTCAATGCGCTAAATCAATGGCGCAAGGAGGGGTCCCAGATCTTGGCTTCATTGCCGCTTCTCGTCTTTTTCTCGGCTACGACCCACCTGCTCATTTCTAAAACTCGGGGCTGCGCCGCATCATAACTCGTTTAGAGTGAAAACAAACCTTCTTTACTCACAAGTGTAGGCAGTAACCATCTTTTGAACTGCCTGCCATATGGTTTTACAGTCTTTTCAGTCAAAACGTAGGGTTGAGGGGTTGACAGTGCTGCGGCTGCCAGATTTGCGCCCGAACACGTACTTTCTAAGGGGTTGAATACCGTTATAGGGGTCTTCCTATTACCCATTACGAGCTCGGATTTCTTTTAGATACTTAATGATAATAATAGATCCTGCACTGAAATTTGTGATCGATTCCGTCCGCATTCAGACGTCACCATCAATGAGTTGCTAACGCACGGTTTTAGGGATGGGAGACGCCGATCGCCAGTGGCCGAACACAAAACAGGAACCGGTCAGTAAGCAGTTTCAGCCAAAAAAGTACAAAGACAGTGGTCAAGAATGGCGCAAAGAAAGAAAGGACGTATGTTCACGCTTTCACACTTTGATTGCATCTTTTTTCCCATCTCTACTCTTATCTGTCTTTATTCGCTAAATTCGTACTTATGCAGACATCGAATCAGCCGACATACGCCTATACACCGTTCAAGGTGAATTCGCTAAGCCGAGCTACTACACCACTCGCCTCAAGTCAGTTATTTCGATTATTTCTGTGAATTTCTTTATCAAGGTTTTTTTGGCAAGGCCACATCAGCAGCTAGTACACAATAATGCAAGTTAGAATTAGCTGGATCTATTGTGAAGTGTACCGAACAGTTGGCAACGGTCGAGGAGATTCTTCGAAGGAAGATTGTACTGTAGGGTCGGAAGTCGAAGAAGAGGAAGTCACCTGGTCGAAAGGCAAGCTGGCCTTTTAGGGCTTCGCAGCGAAGAGTGTGCCATAGTGCTCTAGAAGGGCCATACCCGCACCGCTCGTGCCCCTGTACGCCTACCGATAGATGACTTTCCACCGTCTGAGTTTACCCGTCCAGCGGAAGCCAGAGACAGAGAGAGCGGTAACCCTGAATAGGGCCACACTGATGAGGCTCGCCTAACGCCTAAAACAACGGGGAAAAAAGGAGCCACATACTCGGGTTCTGGACCGTTTTTCTGTTTTTTTTTCTTCATTTCTTCCGTCACTGACCGCCTCTATCTTGACATCTAGTGGTACGTCCTCTCGTCAAGAAAATCCGCCTCTAAGCGCGCCATGCCGTCACGAGGTGGGCATATTCGCTGATGATTCGCCCACTCGCCTAGTAGACGGCTCCCTGTCCTGCTTTTTTTAAGCAAAAAAGGAAACTGATACTTATCAGGGTCAGTCTGCAGTGCTTTGCTTGGCTTGAGGGCATAAACTATGTATAAAACGTACATCCGCTGGTCCCCTAATATTATGGTACAGACCAGACATATTCAAATGCTGCCACGATCTTCATTGGACTCGGATTCATGGCGCCAATTGGGAAGGGTTAATAGCAAATTTGAGATCAACCAATTGTCATTCATTGAATCGCATTATTGATAGATGACAGACTTTTTAGTTTCCGAGCAACATTCTCAAAACGGAACGCTTCGCCGCTCAAATCAGCCGAATCCGTTCGTCTATCCCAACCAGCCACCGTCACGGAATGCTTTTCATGGTCAGTAAGCTTTTAAGAAATAATTTTTTTCAAAAAAACCATGGTTTTTTTTGGTGAGCGTTCGATTTTCATGGTAATTATCGGTAAATACTTCCTGAATGGCTAAATTTCGCTCTAAAATGTAGAATTTCCAAGTTTTTTTTTCAGGGCTTTTCCTTGTAGATTTTGAGAGGCTGCTGAGTTGTGGAAGGTACTTGCATTAGTTCGTTACAAATTAGCCAAGAAGGCATGTTTAAGAAAGCGAGGATAAAGATGACCAAGGTAAAATCAAAATCGCCTTTCACAACAGCCAAGGCGTGGAACTTGCAAGGCTGCTAGAGCCCTTTGATGTAAATCCTAGTGTTGTTGCATTGCCCTGACGAGTCGCAATTGTTGAAATACCTCCTGCAGCGGATTTATGAAAAGGGAGATCGATCTCGAAAAAAAAAACGTGAACATAGGCTTACTCAAAAGAATACTTCGCTAGAGATACTGTCAGGGGCCGCCAAATCTTTGGCCCACGACGATGTCTCTACGGCTCGAAAAGCCATATTAAAAGCGTGGTTACGAGTGGGAGTTTACAGGCGACGTTCGGCAGCCTCAGTGGAGACGCCAGTGGCAGAAACGCAAAGAAGCTCGTTAAGAAACCGCGAAACGGGCCCGCTTGTTTGACCGCACAGAAACGATTTCTCAGTATAGTTTCCTAGGTTCCACCGTGAGCCCGTTGGCAGTGGGGCGCGCAGTGCCACAGTGAACGTCAACTGCAGGGAGCGCCATCGTTGTAGAAAGGGGGTATGGCTAGGCTACAGTTCTGCCGCAGGGAAGTGCGGGCTCAGGTTAGGACCTGCTTCCTGCCAGGAACACGTGCAGTGTACGCCTCGTCGCGCAAGCGGCGAGGCGGACGCATGCGCGGCGAAGCGGGCGCCGCAGGAATTTGGAAGGGCTGCCTCCGGGTGGTCGCGAGAAAAGGTTCTATATCGCTCTAGGCTTATAGTTAGTCCCGATCACAGGACTGGTGTACACATGCGCAGGTGCAATCCAGCGCTCAATAGCGCGCCCTATGCAACGTGGTTACGGTGGAACCTAGGAAGCAATACTGATTAATTAATTTTGTGTTTGATCGCTGATTTTCGCTGATGGACGGGCAACGGCTCAGTATGAATGTGTATGAATCAGATAGCGGAGTATAAACGACTTTACCGCGATGGTGACATCACGCCAAACCATGCTCCAGTCGAGTCGATCCAATTTTGTCGGTGCTGGCTACACGGCTTACCCTAAAACACTAGTGGATAGAGCGCTTGAGTACTGCTTAGCAACTAGCGCCTCAAAGGGTCACCTTCTGGATCCACATTCTGCTGGTGCTTATATTCGTTGTGACTCGAGAATTTGCTCGCGCTTGAAAACATGTTCACGATGTTTGCGAAAATAAAATACAGTATCTTGCAGTAGCACCGCAGCTTTTTATGGCTCTCTAGTAACATGTAATTACCGCAGGAAGAACAGGTGTTATATTACCTTCCGAGCATACGGTTCAAGTTTGTGAGTTAATTCCATCCGACTATGAAAGTAAGGAAGCGAATGGAGTCACCACTTCTGAAAAAAAAACTTGTCAAGATGTTTTTTTAAGGCAGTGACTTTTTATTTTCAGAACCGCCCCAATCTCAGTCAACACCGAAAGCAGCGCATCACATGCAGGTCCGACCAGAAAGTGCGGCACAGATGACCAAGGAGCAGAAGTTGACGTGGGGTCGATGTAAGAGAATTTTCGATATTGAACTTAGACAAATTGCTCAGGTCGAGAATACTAGTCACAAATGTGGGGACTAAAATGCTACGTGAACTTCCCAAGCATGCTGAGCGCTCAAAGTTGGCAAAAAATGCTGCTTAGGCGAGATGTGGTGCCAAACCTAGGCCTCATCAAACCCTGATGTACGAATCTCACCTTCTTGATCAGGCCGTCTATTTTTCCCATTGGGAAGTTTTACCAGAAATCCAAATGGATGCTGTGATAGGTAGCTCTTCCTTACATGTGCGCTGTATTTCCTGCCAACTTTCACCGCTCCGCCTGCTTGAGGAAGTCATCGTAGCTGTTCTAGTATTAGTGGTCTTCATTTGCGACGAGGGTCCAAACTGTGTCAATCTACTAAGGTCCCCTCAGGGTTCCAAAAAGTGGGAGGGCTTTCTTGGTAAATGCGAGGCTTCAAGAATGAGACTAGATATGTAGGTAGGAATCACTGTTCAGAGTGTGCTCGTTGGTCCAGCACTATGCAACAAAAACAGAATATCTGCTAAGACCCCTCACTACTTCGTGAGATAATTACATTGGCGAGACTTACGCCCTCATTTAGGAGTCTCGGATGCATATCCGTTTCTCTGATTCGGTAAAACGTACTTTAAAAGATAAAGCCAGCCAATGAGACTCCCATTATGGAGAGCAAGCTCTAAGGCTAGCGATGATAAGACCTAGCGCGCTATATGATTTCAAGTGTCATTTTAGGATTCTAGCAGTTTTCGCTTCCATCATTGACGGGACCAATGTCCAGCTAGTTTTCCTTTGGAATGAGCAAACCATCGTGAACTGGCCCGACTTGCACTTCGAAGAATTATCACTTCACTCTTATTAATTCCAGTGGGCCTCCAGCTGCAGGTATTCCGGGTGTGTTGTGTTTCAGCGATGGCCGCCCCGTCCGGGAGTCGTTAAGAGCGATACGGGATCGGACACTGTGCAGTCTTCCAAACCTTGTCAGTTAATGGCGACATTTAGCATGCTAACAGAAGGGCAAAAGTGGTGAGGTGTTCACTTGCTACGCGATTACACTTTTTAAAGGGTCTGTATGAAGTTTAAGAATTTCATGCTTATCAACTACTTTGCGAACATGTGCCACTTTGGGTGTTTGTAGGCAACTTTATTGCTTGTCGTCAGTGTAGTTCTTTGTGGTCCATAGAATTTATCACGAAACTCCTCATATTGCCCTCCGAAACTTACGCTACTATCACCACTGTGCATCATACATTTTGAACCCAATTTGGTGTTAGGTGCTCTCCCATCATATATCACGAATTGTCATGCTCCACCCCTCGTCATTATCCCATATAGAACCCTCGACACTTACATTAGTGCCACAACCGCTGCTTTTTATATCCTTATGTACCCGCTTTTCGCATGCGCCTCTTGCGCTTCTATCCCGAACGAGCCCCGCTATGGCCGCACTGTGATACGGCCTCTATCGTCCACATACGTCCCTGCACTACTTTATCGAATGGAGATGGCATCATAAATTGCGTACGTTGGGAAAGGATGAATGCTCACTATAAAGAAATTTCGTGCCCCAACAAGAGCGGAACGTAACGATCACGCGCGGGCGTATGGAGTGTCTGTGCAAGCCTTTCAAGAACTTCCCCTTACTTTCGACGCCTCCCCCTTTGCCAGCCCACTGACTGGCTAACCAAACTGTTCGACCCTCACCATCGGACTCTGAGTGTTTGGTCCACGAAAGAGGGTTCACGTAGATGGCACTACACCCATTTGCACCTCCGCGCAGCAGAAACCACCGGGTGAAACAAGGGTCCGTTTCTGCTGGTTTTGCACTTTTCCCTCACTTTCTGTGCAACACTTTACTTTTTCCATCTCAAACTTTACTTCCTATCGGCAATCATCTTTTCATTCTTGCGCATGAGGGTTGCTTGTGGTCTCTTCGTTTGTGTGTGACTTCTATAAAGCGAAAAAAAATCAAGATTTTCGGTACCGGTCTTTTCACGAAATTCTCTGAAATAGACATATAGAGAGATTATGGGGATATCGATGATCAATCATACTGTACACTCACACTGAAGAAGCTGTGGGACGCTGGACGCTGTTGCGAGTGTGCACTTGCGACATCTTCACGCATTTTATCGAACTCGGAGCGCGAATGGTAGTCTTTTTTGCTAGAGACGCTTCAGGCCTCTGCATTTTGGAGCCTGTTTTCTTAAAAATTCCGCTTACGATTATCAATACATAAGTGCATTCACTTAGGCTAATTAGCAACCCGGCATACCCCCGAAGCAAAATTCTTGATGAGGGATCAGATCATCATTCTGAAGTGATTTCGAGTGCGTGGCGTATTGCTGAGGGATTGTGCAAACCATGGGCCTTTTGCCGCCTTTTCTTGTCCTTTCGAATACATGCTCTCCGCTTTTGATTGCGTTTGATTTCTCGTTTTACAAACGTCTCTTCAGCTGGTTTCCCGTCCACCATCTGTGGCCACACTTGTTCCTGGTATGGCTCCACCAGGAATGGCATCGGATTATGTACGTCCTCCTTCAGCTTTTATTGGTCCCAATGTTGTCATGCCTCCTCCACCTTCACCGAAGCAGAAGGAAATCATCAGTTGGAACACACTTAGTTTGATGTGTAGCATGCAGGGAAGCAGCTCATCTTATTCTTGGAACACACAGAGAAGCAGTCCACAAAAGTGTTCTTCTGGCCTTGATTTTAAATAGCATTCGTAGGCTTGGGCAGCGGTCGCGATAGATTTCAAAGGTTTGTAATAAACCGTGGTGGTGCTCAATGGTACGACAGTGGTGAAAAAAGTGGAAAAATCCGTTAAGAAAACGTAAATCAGGGTTCCTTTTTTGGCCGTTCGTTTTCAGTTTATGAACAGGTACATAGCAGCCCAGAAAGCGGACATATGAAGCAAGTTTAATAGCAAACACCATGCACACCACGCTTCCATCGGAGTTGCTCCGTATGCCGCACTGTACAGCTCGTCTAAATCACATTAATATGGGTGGGCGCGCGATGCTCTCGGAGGCGAGTGCTCGCTTCGTCCGAAGTCCTTGCTCGCAACCGAACCGCAACCTCCGTACGAAAGGGCGCCATACATTCTCACGCGCTTCAAACGCTGGCAGCCAAGTAACTACTTCGTGGTGGCAATAGTCACGATAATTTTCCCGAGTGATCCTCTTGTATCTCAGTCGATGCCGTTAAAGTCCCTATAGTTATGAGGTGGATAAGTGGATAGCCGTAAAATCCAAACCAGGAACTGGAAATTCTTTTTGGAACAGACGTTCTACGATTGCGCATCGTGGACCAATCCCTGGTCTGAGCAGGATAGGTGCTATCCATAAAAGCAAATATGTGCCAGGGTCGTCGTAGCTCTAATACGCGTGTCGAAGGCGCTCGAGCCTTCTCATTCCGCTGAAGTTATTGCCCAACAAGCTGCGCGATGGTATGTCTGCGTCTCGCAAATCTTATATGCTCTCTCATTTGCTTCCGTGTCGAGACACAGTGGCTCTCACTTCGTTGTGGAGTGGTCCGTTCACTGAGAGAAGTGGTAACATTGATTTACTTGTGGGGACAGTTTTTTTGCTATTTTCGCCAGCGGCGACGTTGCGAGATATCTCTTTCTCGATTTTTGACGGAAACGTCCATTTCACTGAACGTTTTGTAGAAAGAAAACTAAACAAATTGCTTCCACACCTACCAGGAAAAAATTCTTCAATAACCATAGAACAACTAAGAGGAGTACAACAAAATCGGCATCCTTCGACTAGTATAGCCCTAGTCTCTGAAGTTTTTATTGCTTTATCTTCCTACTTTTTCTCATTTCTCATACTCAGTACTGAAGGAAGTGGCTTGGGGGCGATATGACCATATTGTTTATCTTCAGCTTTAGTGAAGAGGGGTAATTTCGATTCCGTAACAGATATGGACACTGTTGGTGATGTGCTGTGCTGGCAAGCATTTGCGCCAACTCGATGCAACTCTTCTTTTCAACAAATTGACTAACTAACTATTATATACTCAAGATAAAACAAGTCGGTATTTTGCTAACGAATATTGCACTGTTTTTGGCGCTCGCACCACACAGTGACCATATTTTGCTCATATTCACATTCTCGCTGCTGAGGTGGCGCGGCCCAAAGGCTGCAGTTTAGGCAGGGAAGCTTGGAGTGAGTAACCATTCACCATGTTGTCCTACCTACCTCGCCCCCCCCCTAGTCCCCTTTAGGGTGCTATTGCCATTCGTGCAGAGAGAAGCTAAAAGAAATATGTGTTTGATGCCAGCGGATGAGGCGGCGGTTTTGCGGACAAAAGGACGGGAAATCGGTGTTCAACCTGCTCATCGTAGAACAGTCTTTGAGCGTATTTGGCATCATTTGTTTAGCTGAAACAAGCAGAAAATATGTATTGAACAGCTCTAGCGCCGAAACAGAGTTCCGAAGAAAACGACTATTTTGAAAAATTTGGGTTGTGGTAATGGTAGTAGAATAACACTACGTCCTTTTATTAGCACGCAATAATAAATGCTCGTTGTTCAGGTGTCTGTGCTCCTTGGCAATTTTCGGTATTGGTGTCGGTCGTATGCTGGAAGGCGCAAAATGGGCGATTGGAGTCGAGTTGGCCTACGCTCTTCTGGTGATGGTCGCTGGACTGTCGGGAATTTATGCAGTGACGAAACGAAGGCTATGCGCTGGCTACTCTCTTATTCTTGTCTGGACGCCATTCAGTTGCATATACTGGCATTCCGCCATTCCATCATGGGTGGTCCAAAAATCATTTTTTGTCCTGTCGAAAGGCAGGAAATAAAAAACAAATTTGAAAAAATCCGACTCATTTGGTGCACAGGTGCGGAACGCCAACGACATCTTTTTCTTCGGCACAACCTCCTTATCAGGAGCGTGATAGGATGAAGTCACCCCGATAACTACGCTGTCACAACCTAACTGCTTTACATAAGCTTGGTTGGACTGGCGGCTGCACCTATTTCAGTACTTGATAATGGCTTGGGAAGTTGCTGAATTTGAAAGTAGCCTCAGCAGACTCATAGAGGTCCACTGGTGATTACTACTTTCTACCTTGTACTTCCGATTGTTGAGCAACAGTCCCAAGCGGGATTCATACTTTGGGCTAGCGATGTGGTGAACAAGTGTGTAAAATGCGCGAGCCCTACGTAAGTAGTGTGGCTGAAAAAAAACTCACCTTGGAAAGCCGCTATACAGGACTTGGACATGTGCCAACGCCAGTGATCCACCTTTTCAATTTTCAAAAATCAATCCGTCCACTTGCTAGCAAGAGAGATCTCGTGATTATCTGCGTGGTCCTTGCGAGATTGCTTGTTAACTGCTCCGCGCTCCAACGAATGCCGCCTTTTGTAGGGAAATTGCGAAGACCTGGTCCTCGCGCCTTTCCCTACAAAAGGTGCTACAGAAGTGCCATGACAAGAGGCATACCCGTAATAAATGCCGATTGCGTAGAGAGCTCCGCCTCCAGGTGTCAGACTCGGCCGACGATCGGTTGATTGTGGAGGTTTCGCTTTGCCGCATCAGCCAAGGCGCGATTGTCGCTGTCAAGACACTGGCCTAAGGGTTGAAGCGTTCCAAATTAACTCTGTTCTGGGCGCTGCCTCGTCCAAAGCGGGAATCACTGGGCAGAATGGGAGGTCGCTTCATAAGTTTCACGCCGTTTGCTTTGTTCTCTTTCACCTCTGCACCATTCACCAGCTCTACTTCCCAATTCCAACGGCCTTATATACCTAATTTTAAGTTGAATACCTTCCCCCATTCCACCTTTCGATGAATATTCCTATGTGCTTCGGAAAAAAAACTTTATGAGTGATTGAATTCAATTCTAACTTTCCTAATTTTCCAGGCCTTTTCCCAACAATACCATGGGCATTCACAGAAACTGCTCCAGCGACATGGATAAACAAACGAGAACCATTGGAGTTGGATTTCGGACTCAGCCTTGTCATTCTCATTCAGGTTAACTTCAACTATGTGCTATTTTTAAACGTCCTTGAAAACTTCAGGAGCCAAATTCACTGGAACCTACATAATAATCATACGCCTGGCCACATGCTAGGGAATGGCAACCAGAAATATCGTTGCTTTAGGCGATCCGACTACAAGCTAATGGACCCTTTTTTTCAACGACGTTACCTTCTGCGGATCTTAGCTAATTCTGAAGCTAGATTCTGCTCAAATGTGATCCTCTTCATTGAAAAACAGTGATGGGACCTCGTAGTATTGTGCTGTCCCGGAGCCTCATCAGACCTAAATATTTATATAACACAAAGAGGCACCAAAATTTATTTCAAAAGAATTCCAAAAGTTCACAAAGTTAAAATTCCAAAAACTCCAAAAACAAAAAAACAAAAAGTGATCCTTTGACGTCTTCGATATTTCGGTGTATTGGCCAGATGTTACACAAAGGTGTTATACACTAAAACATCGAAGATTTCAAAGGGATTCCCTTTGAATTTCGGCTGGTTTTTGGAATTTTTGGAGTTTTTTTGAATAATTTGTGAACTTTTGGAATTCTTTTGAAATAAAGTTTGTGGCCTGCTTTGCGTTATAATAACAAGTAATGGGACCATGTGTTGAGGGTGCAAGAGAAAAGTGCGACATATCTCCAGCACTATTTGGGCGCAGGATCAGTCGTCTGTTGCGCGGATTTGAAGATTTCTAAGACCCACCGCCTTCTCAAAGGGGGTTCCACGTTAAGGTTATTGTTCGAAAAAGGGGGAATTATGTTTGTAGAGAGTCGATGACTCTTGAACGGTGGCGGATTAACACGTAACTTTCCGGAGTAATGTGGCCTCCGCGACCTACATGGCCCTCCGCGCGGCGTATCGGAGCGAATCCCATCGAATGGCCAAACCACACCGTTGCAGGTTTCTGCGCGTGTAGCAGAGAGGGATTGAGTTGAGGAAGGCAGCATCGATGAGAATTGCATCAGTGCGGAGATCTAGGGGCAAAGAAAGGGCCGCATACCTCGGGTTCTAGCCGTTTCTCATGGTGTTTTTTTCTTCAACCACTGCGACCCACTATTTGGACCCCAGACTATGGATGGCTGGACTTTGTTGGAGTGGTTGTGGTAGGGCCACCTTTTCATCACCCAAAACCCTTCCAGCCGTGAAATTTCACTGGTCGCTGTGCCCCAAGAACGGCCATTGTACCCACAGCTTTTAACATTGTCAGCAATCGTTTTCAGGTACTTTTGTCACTGGTTATCTGCATAAGCGGTTGCCGATCAGCTGGGGTCCTGTGTGGAATGGTAGAAGAAGTGAAACTGCATCGTGATCTTCATTCGGCCTTCCATGAAATGGATCTACCTCAGAAGGCATAGCCTTGCTTTTCAAATGAAATCATGATATGTAGTCGCAACCTTGCCATTTCTCTTTGTTCTTTTACGTGAATTTCCCGACGTCATCGACAATCTGAGATTCGATATTTTCGAAGAATTTAGGTTTCCATAATATCGACTGGTTGTTCTTTTTTTACAGTGTTTCCCTGCATTCTGAAAAGAACGGCATTTCCTAGTACTAAGTAAATATACCTGAGCCATTTCAAAGCGTCCGCATGGCTTGGGAAGAGCAAATGGAACAAACCACGAAAAGTTTGAAGTTACTTCTTTGGTGGATGCAAAAATAGTCACCTAGAAATTCTGTATAAGGCGTTACGTCTGCGCCATGATTTTCCCTTCGAAAAGAAACTTCAATATAATTGCTCACTGCCGTATTTATTCTTCATTACGCGTTGTATTTTAATTTATTTTGTTAAATAAAATCCATAGTTGTATTTCTATGGAATACAGAAGAATAAAGGCATTTGTTCGCTGTTGTTGTGCCACCTTCAAATATTTCTACTGTGCGTTAAGCGCGTGTCTGTATGTCGACCACTCATCCAAGTTGGGCGGAGCGTGCGCTAAAATGGTCACGAAGTTCGACTCCACCAACGGCTCGTCGAGGAGACGGCCACCACCAGTAAGCCCTTGAAGGACCGCCATAAGCGCGCCATTTGCCGCGAAAAAAGCCACGTGCCGGTTCTAGGGGGACTATCCTACCTTCAAAGTGGGCCGACTTCCCTTCTTCATCAGCCAGTTATTGTATCACTTCCCCCTCAGAGGTCTTGGAAGAAAATCTTTTCTGGAAACTCGGCGCAATTACAACACGAGATTCGATCCCGGATCATGCGCGCGATAACAGCCACCTTTGCTATTGCTCCAACTCCACCCGCTGGCACTTCGAGAAACAAATAAATAATCAAATTTCAAACGATTTAATGTTCCATAATAACATTCTAACAACAAATGCATGCATTTGTTACCACATAAACATACGCATTTAACGAGTTCAAATGTATGGTGATACATATGGAGCTGATGAAACAAAACGTGAGTGAGAAATACTGTAAACACACACACAATTATTACAATTCATTTAGTATTTGTTACATATATATTTGTACACATATGAATATAACACCGGAAATATAATTTTGCATAGCAAAAACGAATTTGGTGGGTCGACTTAATGACACACACACGGTCACACACGGACAGAAAAAAAAACAGACTGAAAGTGAATTTGCCGAGGGCAATGTGATTAAGCGCCGACACAAAATATACCACGAGAGTTTAAAGGAAGGTTTGGAAAGAGATGCAGAACCATCTACACTCTGTTTCCCGTGGTCGGACGTGTCGTAAATGCGGACTCGGTAGCACACGTGGCAGATTGATAGCATCAAAAAAGCGTATGAGATATCGATTTTTTCGAGGCCATCGTCATTTGTGATTTTGACAAGTCCAACAACAGGAAACAGAGTTTTGATAAATGGAATAGTCATGAAAATGCCAAAATGCATTCAAAAGAGCAGATCAGAGAGAAGAAGAATGAAGCACGGTCACGATATGCGCACGCTATCAGGCAAATTCTCAAGGGGGAAACCGTATTGGAGACGTTTGAAATTGAACTTTGCAATGGGCAATAAGGGTTGTACTGTGCACTGAATAATATTGTCACGCTGAACCTAACTGGACAAAGAGACGAGTAATTTGAAGGCTCTCTACATGGCCCTATCACTTAGGAACCAGTGGTCTCAATCTGCCTAATCATTGTCTTCACCATTCCAGGTGGACTTGCCGGGATCAGCGCATCCAGCTGGGCAGCCTGTTCCAATGTTAGTGGAGTTCGTTGGCGTGCAGACAATCGCTTTGGGGATGTCACCTCATCGTCGATGAGCGGGAAGTCACCTCGCGGGGAATCCACTTCTATGATTGTCGCCGATCGGTCGTTCAGGGAAATACGGGTGCAATTCCCATGAAGGAGCTGGAAAGCAATTGAATGAATCCACGCTTACCAGCGGCAACAACAAAAAGCCCGGCTCCAAAAAAATACCTCAGAAGAATCTCCAATATTATACTTCTTTGCGCGAAGCCTTTTCATCTGATCGATTTTGGAAAAACGGCGCTCTATCCTGAAAAAAAATGTATATTTACAATTGGACATATGTTGATGAAAGGATAGAGAAAAGAGAAAACGGATAAAAAACACTGATCAAATTTGTTCTAGGACACGCCATGCGTTTTATTTCCATTAAAGATTGTAGTGGCATTTTGAATGCGATTTGGCACATCCTATGGAAAGGAGGTCCAGCCAATATCTTCCATGTTTTTCTTTGTAGAAAAGTCTGGCACCATTAAAGCAACCCTGGAGACATGGAAGGGTTGTTGGCCTAGGCATACGGTCCAGGATATGATCCGGAATGTACGCATGGAAAACAGCGCCATTTCTCTACTCCCCCTCCCCCCCCCCTTTCAGCAATAACCAAGCAACTTGAAAAAAAGCCTAAAATTGGGTGTTTTCTCACTGGAGTAAATCTCTGCGTCAGCCCAAATTTAAGCGGCCATAGTTACTATGAGGAAGAAAAGAAGTTGGCCACTTACTCTCCCTTTCAAAAAACGAGAAGAGCGTCGGGTGCAGACCATACACCACAAGTGACGACGGCCCTCACAAAATGTAAATGTTTTCTGCCAATGATTAGCCTGTTGCAGTTGTATTCTATCAGTTGTCACTAATTACAACTATCATTTACCAAAAATCAGCTATCTATGAACCACTACTAACCAGATTTACTTGGAGGCCGTCGTCAGTTGTGGTGTATGGTCTGCACCCGACGCTCTTCTCGTTTTTTGAAAGGGAGGGTAGGGCGCAACGCAATTCTCACAACTAATCAGAAGATTATCGCATCGTTTACTCACTGTTGCTGCTCAGATGGTAAGCTCGAGTTCACAGCTGTATCGCCACCAGCGCTTCTCGGCTCCTCCGATGGCGGATGTGAAATTTCGTCAAGTCTTGTGAGGGACTTTGAGCGATTATTTTTCACCGCCTGTTGTCGCCAGGCCAAAACATCTTGGATGGCAGAATCGTTTGGGTTAGAGGAGGTGCAAGTGGCGGACTTCATCTGAAAACGTAGAATTATCAAATTTGTTTAAACACTTAAATACACTTCATCGATTTCAAGTGCATATCACTATGAATCTTAACGTTCTTGTGTGAACTTTCCATTGATACATGCTTCTAAATTGCGGGCCTGCCAATATGTATGTCTGCGTCTCTTTCGTCTCCTAGACTACCTACTTTCGATCTGTTATAACCCTTGACTCCCACTGCCTCTTGTAATGTGAGCTCGTAAACCACCCAGACAAACCTACCCATTTCAGTTTGACCGATTGCCTGCTTTTCTTTTCTCTCCCCCTCTCTGACGAGTCAGTTACCACCACCCACTTCCTACCTAAACTTCGTTACCCTACTTGTGCTATCGCGAGACATATCATTCAAAAATGCATGTACTAATGGAATGGAATAAAAGTCCCAGGCAAAAATACGGAAAGACTAGCCCAAAATGGAAAAGTAGTCACGTAATGCAGAAGAAAGAGAGAATGGTTGGGAATCTGCCTTAAAGGAGGATTCCACGATAAGAACGAAGGTCGAAGAAGGGGAAACATTGTCTAGGAGGAGACAGGCGGACCTCCTGAGGGTGCGGAGACACGCAATTGGCAGCGAAAGATTTGACCTCGGCGATCTAGCATGGCTCACTCTTGGCGCAGCTGCGGGGTACGCCCGAGTGACTAGATGGCAGAGAGAGCATCAGCGTTGACAAGGGCATGAATGCAAGTCGCATCAACGCGAAATCAACGGGCAAGGGAGGGTCCATTTTTCGGGTTCTGGGCCGTTTCTCATGGTTCTTCTTCTTCTTTCTCGTACCACTCACCATCCTTAACTTAATTTGAAATGGGTTGCTTTTTCATCGTAAATTCTGCCTTTAACGTCATGCATACGAACAAGGCTAACCTGTGTTTTCGGGCTGGTGTTCCCGCACAGTACAAGCTCTTTGAACAGCTCGTCAAAGGTCTCGTCGATTTCCTCGCAATCGATGCGACGAGT